GTTTGTAAAGAACTCCAAGATTGAAGGAAATAATAGAAAATACTTAGAACTGAATTTTAAAAATACCACAAATCAGAACTTGATACAGCTAAAGTAGGACTTGGATAGGGAGATTAAATAACTGATTGTCCAAACCAGGATACTTTGGAGAGTCAAAGGGGAAGCTATTAGCAATTACTTCTAGATAAGGCATAAACTAGAAGTAAACTGGGGAAATCTCCATGTATGGTCACCCCACACTTAGAAGAAATTTTATTTCATTATATGCTTATATAGTACAAAGAAAAAGGGCTAAATATTAATGAGCTGATCATCCAACCAAAGAAGTTAAAAAAACAGAATAAACCCAAAGAAAGCAGAAAAGAAAGTATTTTAGTAAGAACAGAAATCAATGCAATAGAAAACAAAATAAAATAGAGAGAGAACAAGTAGGCCAAAAGTCGATTTGTTGAAAAGACAATATTGTCTGCCAAGACTAAGAAAGAAAAAAAGGTCTAGATAAATAATATCAAAACAGAAAAAGACAACTACAGATGCTAAAGAGATTTGTAAAATGACATCAAGAATAACTTTATGCCAATTAATTTTAAAATCCACACAAAACATACAAATTCCTAGAAAAAAAAATTTACCCAACTAAATCCAGACCAAAACTATAAAAGGTAAAGACATTGAGCCAATAATTAAAAATCTTCCCACAAAGAAAATACCAGGCCCAAATGGTTTTACTGGTAAATTCCTCCAAAAATTCAAGGAATAAAGAATTCCAATTTCACATGAAATATTCCAGAATATAGAAAAAGGAGGACAACCTCCACTCATTTGATGAGTAACTTCAATGCTAAAACTCAACAAGTACAATATAAGAAAGAAAAATTATACTTTATTCTCGATCATGCATACATAGAAGTCCTAAATATATATTAGAAAACCAAGTTCAGCAATGTACAAAAGACAATACATAATAAACAAGTTAGGTTTGTCATAAGAATGCAAGGTTGGTTTCATACAAATCAATGCAACGTACCAGCTTAAAGACATTAAAGGAAAAAATAATTAGATCATCTCAATAGAAGCAGAAAAAGTGTTTGATAAATTTCAATACTCATTCACATTAAAAACTTTCAGTAAACTGAGAATAAAAAGGAAATTTCCTTTAACTTGATAAAAGGTACCCAAACGCTATAGTAAACATGATGAAATGCTGAAAACAAGCTCTCTTAAGATTCAGAACTAAAAAACCCCTGCACTCTAACCATTAGAAATACATTATTCGGTCTGTCAAAGAAGGTTCCATTAAGCATCCATGAAACTCAGTTTTAGATCCCAAAGTGAAATTTTTGCTGCCACACATAACATGCTATTAATGGGAGCATGGAGAAGAGACACATCAGACACATTCACTTTATTCCAGGTCAGGCTACAAATGTGACTCATAGTCAAGTTCCTTGCTCTCTACAAACTACAAAATCTGAAGGACAAAAATGAATAGCAATGTATAATACTTTAAGAGTAATGGACTATATGAGAGAAAGTAGAAACAAGAGAAAAACTTGAGTATATTGAACTTGTAATTGATCTAGCATCTTTAAGGAATGAGCAGTTTCTGTTAAATCAAAATTCCAGAAAACTTAGCTCATCCCTTTGAGCTGTGAAGCCCTGATCATAACCACGGAGGGGGAGAACTTCCTCAAACAGGTTAGGCCATTTCCTCCTTCAGAAGATACTACACACAACCGACCTTCTCCTGAAGACCCTGGGGTACTATGTTTTGACTATCAATTACATCATGCTAGCCTACTACAATCCTGATGCCCGGAAGGGCTCTCCAGTAGCAGAGGATTCTTCCACCACAGAAGCATTTTCTTAAATGTCTCATTTTGCTTCTTTCCTTTACAACGAGTGAGAGAGCAGTGGATTCTAAAATTCTTAGATGATACATTTCTTTCCTTTTTTTTTAGTTGTCCAGCTAATTTCTTTCTGTTTTTTTAGTAGAGACAGGGTCTTGCTCTTGCTCAGGCTGGTATCAAACTCCTGACCTCAAGCAATCCTCCCGCCTCGGCCTCCCGGGGTGCTAGGATTACAGGCGTGAGCCACCGCGCCCGGCCAGATGATACATTTCTTAGTGGAGTCTCTCCATTTGAATTAATGGGGCTTTCCTCAACTCAAGATATAATGAGATATGTAATGAGATATGGTATAATAAAAGCCAAAAATATATACGGCCAGTACTATGGGCATAACATAGGAGTATTTTCTAAGTTCCTCCACTTGGTACAGGTAAGTATCATAAATAACACCATGAAAAAACTCACGAGATTGGGATGGCTGAAGGAAAAGCACTCCTCTTCCAGGAGCAACTGGTCTTTCAGGATAAATGAATGGAACATGTCCGAGCATGCCAAATTTCATGTTTTTTCCCCTCCTTGCAGGGAGGAAATTATCAATATAAATCACGGTTTTTGAACACAGTATTTATTTTCTAAAAATAAACTGAATTTTCAAGAATTATATACTAAGATTATACAAAACATTAAGAATGTAATTTTTTTTCCTTTCCTTATTATTATTTTTAGAGATGGGGTCTCCCTATGCTGCCCAGTGGCTATTCACAGGCGTGATCCCATTAGTGATCAGCACGGGAGTTTTGATCTGCTCTGTTTCCAACCTGGGCCAGTTCACCCCTCCTTAGGCAACCTGGTGGTGCCCCGTTGCTGGGATGTCACCACATTGATGCTGAACCTAGTGTGCACTTGATCAGCATAGCGTACTACAGCCCAGAATTCTTGGGCTCAAGAGAGCCTCCCGCCTCAGCCTCCCAGATTAGCCTCCTGAGTAGCTGGGACTACAGATATGCGCCATGTGCCTGGCAAGAATGTACATTCGACTAGATTACAATTTAGTTGTTTAAAGTATAATCCTAGCAAACTGTCATCACTACCAATAGACATATACTGAGGACAAATAAGATACAGAGCTAAATGTGGTCTAAAGAAAAGGGTCTAAAATCATGGCTTTTATCCTCAAAGAGCTTACTCTATTCAACTTCAGCAGCTTCACCCCAATTCTCTCAAGGATCTCTGTATCACCCCAGAATGTGTGAGGTCTTTTTATTTTAGAATCATCATTCCTAAGGGCAGAGTGTAAAAGGAACTGAGCCCAAAATGGACAGGCAGATTTCAGGGACGAATTACCCAGAAAAAAAATATCTGCTTTCTGGTTCCCACCTCTCCCTTTGGATACTTGAGGGCAGGTAACCCATAAATCTCAGGCATCCAAACCTCTTTTTCTTGAGAAGCCTAGGTAACTTGGAGACAAACTTACTTCAAACTGAGAGTCAGGCTACTCTTCTGCCAGCACAGCAGGAAGACAAACAACTTTTAGCAGAATTAGGGTATTTCTCCCCACAACTCAGCCCATCAGTACAGTATGCTATATAAGGCCCCGGGTAAAAAACAAAGCTTTAGGGGGAAATACTAGTAAAAGAGATTTAACATGAAATAATATAAAGTTTACTAAGTATTTAAAAAACTGAATATATGCCCATCCCATACATCCTCAATTGATAACCCCTGCAGAAAATCATCAAGATGCTATTTAAAAACATCAAAAAACTATTGAAATAAAAATGGTATCTAGGCCAGAGTTCACAAATTGGCAGGCATGCAGAGTAATTTTGCCCACAGAGAGGTTTTGTTTAGTCTGCAAAGTGTTGTTTTTAATTTGAATTAGTTGCCAACTTAAAAAAAAATCTGCAATTTTTACATAAAAAAACAAATTTCCAAATTCTCTTGAAAAAATACAAAGTTGTTAATACATGGCAACAATTGCCAAAAGCTTAGTGGCTGCTGTCTCCTCCAGATGAGCTCTCAGTCGCAATAGAGGCCCACTCCCGAGCCAGCCCCCCAGTCAGTGCTCACCCTTGGGCTTGGTACAGCATGAATGTTTGTGGCTCCTGGACTAAGCGACAGAATAAACACCAACCAGCCATAAAGATACAGTGACTTTCAGAGCAAGGGGGGAAAGGGATCAGAACCAGACAAAGGTGCCTTATTTTTTTTCTGCATTTTACCTAGAAATAAAGGGACCTCCAAGTAAATACTGGTAGGCATGTGGGTTGGACCAGGCCTAGGAATGGTACATTCATACATTCTCCCTTCTCCTGCCCTGCTGCGTGCACACCTACCCAATGCAGACCAGGAAAGATAGAAATGAAATACAATGGTCACCATCTTGCATCCCTTAGTAACATGATTGACAACTCTCCACCCATGGTTATCTCCTTAACCCAGAGAGACTGGAAACATAAAAGACGGCCTCGTAGAACATGCTATATAAAGGAAGCCCACAAGCATGCAAAATTCTAGAATATCACAGATGATGGACTTAGAAGGCTGGAGCTTAAGAGATCAGCTTTGGTGTGCACAGAACAGGTTCCCTTTATATCTTTTTTTGATAAATGAATGACCCTGAACAATTACCCCATGCCTAATTTCCTTATTAGGAATGTAAAACAACCTGGAGTGTAATTAGATTTTTATCTCAAAAGTAGATGGACAAATAAGGTCCTCAGCTAATCTCCCACTGTTAAGCTGTATTAAAATCAGATGAGTAATAACACCTCCTGTAACTCAGCTATCCTTCCTAATAAGTTCAATTCTAATACGCAGAATCCAATGAGGAACGAGGAACCTGCCCCTGGGAGGGTCAAGAATGTGTATCCTGGGCAAGTCATTCTCCTCTAGTTCTGTAAGGCGGGACAGTACTCATTATCTCTCCCTTACTTACTCCACAAGGATGTTGTCATGTCCATAAACCATTTAGAGTTCTTCAGGAACAGGGTGGTATAGAAACAGGTTATATTCACATTAGTGTTAGTCTTAACCTCACAAGATGCCGCCACGCAAGAACTTTTTAGGCACCTGGTAAATATGACTAACTGCTTTCCCTCTCCCAGTGAGGAAAGGAAGGCAGTTAAGGAAGCCCAAATCAGCACCCACCTCTGTTCTGATGGATACTGGTTTTCAGGCATCATCTTTGGCATCTGCAGGGGCTGATGTGGTGGCCGGGGGACCGCAAATGTTTGCGGCTGTGGTCCAGGCTCTGGAAGCGAGTGCGGGGTGGGGCCCACACCTTGTACAGGGCCAGCTGCAGGGGCTGAGGTGGGCAGAGTTGCCTGAGGTGGGGGAAACAGGGAATTCTGATGGGTGGGTGACAGCGGGGTGGAAGGAGGGGTTAATGGCTTGAACCCAGAGGGAGGCTTCCTATCATAGGCACTGTAAACAGAAAAAGAGAAGGAACCATTAAGCTGAAATGAAGCCATTAGCGTGGTAACCAGGTCCAGCAGAACCTAGTTTGCAGCCCATTGTTGCCAGGAAATGACAGTATTAACATAGTTAAATCACTAGCAGCCCTGAGGGAATATTTGTACCTCTGAGAAGTGACAAACACACTGCGTCACAGGGACTTGTTTAACACTTCTAGTGATTTTTCTCAAAGATAATTTTAGCCTCTGCTTCCGGTTTCCTTTTTCCCTCCTTCTAAAAGAATTCTCCATGTGTGCACGTGTAGGGGTGGACGGGTGAGGGGAGAATTTATGCTTTGTCAGGTGTTCTCTGGTCCCCTCTCCCAAGTATTCCAGGGTTCCCAGGAATTAGAATCTTTGCTGAGGATAAATTTTTGCTGTAACATCACTTGAATTAACAAATCTTCTCCTCCCCCTTTCACGCCGATCTATGTTTATCTTCTAGAGCAAAGAATGATTTAAAATTAAAGCTTCATTCCTGGGGCCTGGATATTCTTAAGTAAAGGGCACAAGCATCAGGACTTTTTCATATATTCTGATTTGAAGATTACTTCTTTGGTGCTTAAAGTTCACATTAACATATGATAGACATGAAGTATATATTACCTGGCTTGAAGCCACAGATCAAATATCTCAGTATTAGAGGCTCTTCCCCTAGAAGGACTTGGCAGGTACCCTGTGAACCGAGTTCCCTGCTGAGCCACAGGGCTTTCACAGTTTTGTGCTCATGTGCAGCTCAGTGGCCCCAAGTGGACTTAGGCTGCACCTAGAGGACTATATTGCCATGAAAGAAGGGCATGTTCTACGCCGAGGGTCTGTAGGACAACACCTGGAACATGGCTAGTTCCAGAGCCTGGAACTTTTCTGGGCAGCCTTTCTTTAGCTCCACTTACCCACTTACCAATAGTTGTAGAGGCACTTTTCTCCATAGTTAGCACCAAGAGCCTGCTCGTGACTACAGGACGACAGCTCAGAGGAGGGGCTGTGCAGCTCCCGTTTGATCTTGGTTGGAGGTGGGGCATGAAGCACCACTGAAATCAGAAGAGGGATGAGGGAGGAACAGAGAGAGGACAGCTGATTAACAGGGAGCACAATACTTCCTCTGCAAACCTTCTAACTAGCTGATTGTTCTTAGATCTCATGTTAAGTCACATGTCAGAGAAAGCAAAACACTTAAACACATAACCTTCCATCTAAAGCCAATTAAAAGTTCTTTAAAGTCAGAAATCATCATCTGACACTTTGAATTAGCCAAGTCTTTTTTCCCAAACTTCTTTGGTCATGGGTCTTGCTTGCCAGAGGCTCCGAAACCCTTACAAATCCTGCAGGTGATGGGTCTTCAGAAAAATATAGGTGGTGACAGAATACCAACAGTTGTGGACATGAAGAATTATCTTTGCAAAAAGGACAAAATAGCCAAAAATGTGTTGGTAGACATTATACATCAGCTTATCAAAGGCTTAAAATTGCTATGGCAAATACATTTCATATTCGGGGGCATATTTACAAATTAAATATACTGTTTTTAAAATGTCCTTTCTCAAGTAACTCTAAATATTAGTTCTGAGTAAGAAATACTCAACTTTAGAGGTATTACAGATTATTTTAAAAGCAAAGGAATAAAACAACAGACCAATCCACCACCTAGGAAAGGCTAACTACATACAGGTGAAGGCCTGGCTACCTTTGTGCTTGCAACGTCTACTCCAAGCCTGTCCCAGTGACCAACCTGCAAGGACAGGTTTTTATAACCAGATTTCTGTAGATGGTAGCAATGACTTTTCCTGAATTCATGAAATAAGTACATGAGTTGTTACTTTAGGCTTGGAAGCCAACTACGTATTCCATACATGATTCTGAGAGGGCAAAGTAACAGGAATTTTTCAAATCACAGTGCCTTACATACAGTGGCTAAAAAAACCCAAAGAACAGAAAGCCAGGTTTGCCTTTTCTTCTCATCTAGGAGCTAAATTGTCTCAGAGAGAGCATTTTATCCAAAGGAGAAGGACAAATTCTAAAGATGTTGCACTATGAGGGCTGTCTTCTAATAGTAAGTTAGAATGGCCACTCCCTGTCTAGCTACCTTGGAGGGTGGGGGAAAACACGTTAAGCTTCTGTGCCAGCCACTTTCCACTATATCAAAGATCTTGCTAAATAGTTAACCAGTCAGTGGTTAACTATTCAGCGGCTCTGATGACCCACTAACATTTTCAATTTGACTCAACGGTTTACTCCTAAAACACTTTCAGGAGTTCGTTAATTCTTAGTGATTATACTAAGTAGAATTAGCTATATGATCATCACTTTTCTGTCTGATAAGACTGAACAATCTTCCAGCGAACTGGTTTCTCAGGTGCCTCCTACAATCCCAAATTCTAGGCCCAGGCATGAATATAGAAGACAGATAATTCTATCATAGATGACAAGGTTATAAAGCAATGCTGCTGCAAAGTCCTGCCAGTGACTAACTGGAAAGGACAGGTTTTCATAATTCCTTTCTTGCATAATGCCAAATGCTTTTCCTGAATACATGGAATAAGTTGAGAACCAGCAGATTATATTTAGAAGTCATTAGAGACTCTCTCGTGATTTTTTGATGGTGACATCATGCCAGCCAACACTCAATTGTTATCAAATGTTTTCAGACATTCAGACACAGAAAATAGCTAAGCTTGTTGTCTGAACGTTGTTAGTAAACAAGAAGGGCGAGTCAGACGATCAGACACGGACAGCCATTCCTCTAGTGTGGTAGGTATTCTGGCAGTTCTCAGCACTGTCCCTGGTCACTGTCCCCACTTCTACCAGTCTTCTGCTATGAAAATTTTGGCAAAAGAATGAAAAAAAGTGAATGATGCCCCAATTTAAACAAAAGTTACATGTTCTTGAAAAGTCTACTTTTCTTATCTAAAGATAATTATTTGCAATCAATGCTTTACCTAAGTTTAGAAAGTAAACAATTGTAATATTATTCAATTTTCTCATTTCAGGTTTTAAAAATGTCTTGAAAAATTACCAGTTCTCCTGACAAGACTAATACCAGAAGGTAAACCAAAGTTGCCCAGAAGGAAAGTTTTTACAGTGGTTTCCGGAACTGCATATATCCATTTAAAAAGAGAACCTAAACTGCCAGCTAATTCTGTGTCTTGATTTCTTCAAATCTAGGCAGTATTCTTAGTGTGAACCACATCGTTTTGGTTCTAAATTATATGGTATCTTCTGCCCCAAATTGTCTTATATGTGGAATCTTATGTTCTCTATACAAAGGAAGAGTTAAAGAAATATTTCTATATAAATTCTATAAATATTTCACATATATTTCTATATAACCCATTCATTCTTAACCTTGAAGGCGGGGACCACATCTATCCTACAAGGCTAGGCAGAATGTTAGTTATAAATACTTCTTCCCCCAGGAATTGACCATTTGAAGGAAAGAAGAAAATGGAACATGGGAGGAACGAGAACGGAAAGTTTCATAGATGTGCACTACAGGAAAGCCATCAGGGGCCCTGTGAGTGGTGAGGACAAAGGCTCAGCTCCTCAAAGGTCTGCAGGACTAGAGGATGTGTGAAGGAGCCTAATTATGGCATGCCTTAGTCAGAGATAGTAGTGTATTTAAAGCAGGAACTCAGAATCCCAAGAAATGCTCCCTGCTTTCAGTCTGTTTCCTCATTTGTAAAATGAGGTATGTGATGCTGCCTTGAGAAATAAAGAAAATGGCACAGCACCTTGCAGATGGTGCTATGAGGTTGTGTAATTATACCTTGTGCTTTCAAAAATAGAGTATTTACATTTGCACAGCTGACTTACTAAACCATGACAGAGACCTAGGACTATAAAGGATGGCAACGAATTGGAATTGAAAAGGGATCGTGAACTCTTAAGAAAGTTTGAAAAGAAATGCTAAAAAATTTGACTATTTGAGATGACAAACATCTTCTACAATTAGCAACTTTGAGTTTAAGCTCAGAGGTATAGATGATAGGCCCACAAGGTCGATGGTACCCTGACAATAAGTCCTGCTGAATATGGACCACCTTCTTTGTCATGAAGATCATTCATTCATTCATTCCTTATTATCTATGGGCCAAGCATTCTGGAGGTGCTGGGATATGATGGTAAACATAACAGACATGGTCCTTTCCTCATGTCATGCCTAATTTAGTGAGGGATCTGACTTTTAGCATCTTTTTTCTTTTTTGAGACAGAGTCTTGCTCTGTAGCTCACTGCAACCTCAAACTCCTGGACTCAAACAATCCTCTTGCCTCAGCCTTCTGAATAGTTGGACTACAGGCACATACCACCACGCCCAGTTAATTTTTCTATTTTTAGTAGAGATGGGGTCTCACTCTTGCTCAGGCTGGTCTCGAACTCCTGAGCTCAAGCAATCCTCCCGCCTTGGCCCCCCAGAGTGCTAGGATTACAGGTGTGAGCCACTGCACCCAGCCTTAGCATCTTCTTAAAGATGCAGTTGGAGACAGACTCAGGCCTCAGTACACTTAATTCAAGCCCTTACATTTATACATAAGGATCCCGAGGTCCAAAGGAGTTAAAGGAATTGCTCAAGGTCTTAGGGCTGCTGCTATTAGAGGGCAGAAGAGGCAAGGGCTTCCCACTGTCATTTCATCAATCTTCCACCACACTGTCAGAAATGGGAGATATTCTACTCACTTACTTTGTACATTAAAAATAGAAGGCATAAACCTTTTTTTCAACTAAACCAACAAAAATATCGCATCACACCTGGTTGAGACGAAGTGCTCTAGAACAAAGGAAAATGGACGAGAAGAACTAATACCTCTGGAAAAGAACAAGGAAGACAGACCAAGAAAGAGGCAGCCAGATAGACCCCTTCCATTTACTTTGTGCCAAGTTGCTCTTACATACCTTATTTCATTCAGTCTTCCCAACTCAGTGAGAAAGCTACTTCCATTGTCTCCATTTTACAAATAGGAAAATAAGGCTTAAAGTAACTTGCCACGGAATCACAGCTAGGATTCCTACCTAAGCAGTTCCTATTCATCTCATTATATTGCCTCCCAGAAGGAATCTGAGTGAACAAAGACTAAATAAAAAGGGATTAAAAGAAACAGGGAAAGAGAGAAGGAAGACAGCACAGGAGAAGACAACAGAAGAATACTTTTTTTTTTTTGAGACAGAGTCTCACTCTTTTGCCCAGGCTAGAGTGAGTGCCATGGCGTTGGCCTAGCTCACAGCAACCTCAAACTCCTGGGCTCAAGCAATCCTTCTGCCTCAGCCTCCCGAGTAGCTGGGACTACAGGCATGCGCCACCATGCCCGGCTAATTTTTTCTATATATTTTTAGTTGTCCGATTAATTTATTTCTATTTTTAGTAGAGATGGGGTCTCGCTCTTGCTCAGGCTGGTTTCGAACTCCTGAGCTCAAATAATCCGCCCGCCTCGGCCTCCCAGAGTGCTAGGATTACAGGCGTGAGCCACCGCACCCGGCGAGAAGAATACTTTTTGCCAACTCTCAGGGCTATGTCCTCACGTTTACTGCACTCTCCACCTGGAGGTACAACTCATACACTTAAATCCACTCAAGGACTTATACTTTTTCCTATCTCTAGGACACCAAAATGCCTAGGATCTCTCTTTTACCCCTATCAGCAACTATCATCTTGGACTCCAGCAGCCTTCACTTTTTGTGATCCTCGCCTCTTGTTCTAGTGTTCTTTCTAAAAGGTCCCATTCTCCCTTCTACACTCCAGTTGATCAAACCTTTCTGCTCATTAAGGCAGTTTCAAGCACTTTGGAAGACCTGGTATCTTCTATAGCCGGTCACTGACTAGCCAGAGTCCACACTATTACCATGGATGGCATTTCTCTCCCTAGAAGCCCTGCCTCTCCCTGAAATTGCTCTGGACAATCCTCTCTTACTACCACCTCTGAAGCAAGAACACTTTGGGCTGTCTGGATCCCTATTTGACTACAAAAATTCCGTTAAAGATCCATGCACAAATATATGAGAATCTCTGTTTGTCAGGGCTGGGAAAGAAAAGGGTGGCTA